AGAGGGGAACTACAGGGGAACCAGAGGGGAACTACAGGGAAACTACAGGGGAACTACAGGGGAACCAGAGGGGAACTACAGGGGAACCAGAGGGGAACTACAGTGGAACCAGAGGGGAACTACAGGGGAACCAGAGGGGAACTACAGTGGAACCAGAGGGGAACTACAGGGGAACATTGATCAGTGACATCAGTTCATGTTTCATTAAGTTGAAATCAGATTTTCTTCTTCAGATCACCAGCTCCTCGGACTCGGAGGCCGTGACTCGGCAGAAGCTGGTGAAAGGCCACGCCTACTCTGTGACAGGTGCAGATCAGGTGAGAGGACACGCCCCTTTCAAACAACTGTCTGTGAGAACACCATGCTGTTAAACTATATTACCCATGATCCTCAGCTGTGGGAGCCCTGACATGTTTCCATCAGAAACACCTGGAGGGGGGCGGGGCTTCAGCTCTCTAATGAGCTCATGACCAATAAGGTGTAACTGTGCTCTGCATGTGATTGGCTACAGGTGGAGTATCGTGGCAACACGGAGAGGCTGATCCGGATCAGGAACCCGTGGGGTCAGGTGGAGTGGACCGGAGCCTGGAGCGACAGGTGGGCGGGGGGGGGTTAGGAAATACTGGGTGGTTCTTTTATCCCTGAACTTTGACATGAATATCTCCCCTGCTCTGTTTGTAAAACTGTTTTCCGCTCCACAGCTCGCGTCAGTGGCGTGAGATCAGCGACGAGGACCGGGAACGCCTGAGTCTCTGTGCTGAGGACGGAGAGTTCTGGTAATATTTCCACTTCTTGTCTGGACTCTGTGGTCGTGTGTGCAAAGTTAAACCCTCTGATCTGTCTTCCAGGATGTCTTTCTCTGACTTCCTGTCACATTACTCCCGGCTGGAGATCTGCAACCTGACGCCCGACGCTCTGAGCGACGACTCTGTCTCCAAGTGGGCTCTGACTAAGTTCGATAGCAGCTGGAGGAGAGGATCCACAGCCGGAGGGTGCAGGAACTTCCCCGGTGAGTGACGTTCCTGCTCGGCTTCCTCAGGGTCCTGGAGGTCCTGAAGGTCTTCCAGGTCCTGGAGGTCCTGAAGGTCCTGAAGGTCCTGGAGGTCCTAACGTTCTGTTTCTACACCGCAGATACATTCTGGATCAACCCTAACTTTGTGATCAAGCTGGACGAGGAGGACGACGACCCGGACGACGGAGAGTCCGGCTGCAGCTTCGTGGTGGGTCTGATCCAGAAGAACCGCAGGCGCATGAGGAAGATGGGCGAGGACATGCAAACCATGGGGTTCGCCATCTACGAGGTGAGAGGATCTGATGCTGTGGAGGTTCAGAGGACCTGAACTCTGTGGAGGTTCAGAGGTCCAGAGAGACGATCTGCTAACCTTCTTCTTCTTCTTCTTCTTCTTCTTCTTCTTCTTCTTGTGTTGCAGGTTCCTGACGAGGTACTGAGGATCCGCTGTTTGTTTCTTTATCTTCAGTCTGAGGACTGTCTCTCTCAGTCAGAGGTGTAAAGTAGCGAAGTACACTTACTCAAGCACTGTACTTAAGTATAATTTTGAGGTACTTGTACTTCACTTGAGTTTTTAATTTTGTTACTACATTGTAATTCTACCCCACTACAGTTCAGAGGTACATGGTGTACTTGTACTCCACTACATGTATTTAATACATTTAGTTACTTCACAGATGTAGATGAATGATGTGAAATCTAATCAAGTGTTAAATCAGACTTTAGTTCCACCTGGAGTAAATCCACAAGCTACCCTGCAGTATACAAAGTCATTCAGACTAGCTGCACCTTTACCAGCTTTGAGAACACTTTCATGATCAATCATTATAAAACATATCATATATATTATTCTGAAATGGACCAATCTGCACAATGACTACTTTTACTGTCACTACTTTCACTATATTAGTACAATTACAGTTCAGAGTACTTGTACTTCCACTGAAGTACGGTTCTGAGTACTCTCTCCCCTCCTCAGTGCCGCGGTCAGAGGAACGTCCGGCTGAGGAAGAACTTCTTCCTGCGCCACGCCTCGGCCGCCCGCTCCGAGACCTTCGTTAACCTGCGGGAGGTCAGCAACCGCTTCGTGCTGCCGCCGGGAGAGTACCTGATCGTCCCGTCCACCTTCGAACCGCACAAGAACGGAGACTTCTGCGTCCGGGTGTTCTCGGAGAAACAAGCCGAGTTCCAGTATGTGTCCTCTGGTGGTTGGGGGGTGATTTACTGGTGGTCTTTATGGTTCCCTTTAAATAAACGTGATCACAGCAGCCTCTGGTGGCCGCCTGGAGAAATAACATCTCATTAAAAGCGTTCTAATTACTCTGCTCTTTTAATACCTGAAAAAAAAATGTATTCATTCTTATTGACGACTGTGTTCCTGCAGAGAGCTGGACGACCCCATCGAGAACAGAATGGAGAAGGTGAGACTACTTCCTGTTCTTGATTCTCGATATGTTATAGTCATATATCCAGGACAACAGGCAGGTGCACTGTACTGGATATATCACTATAAAATATAAGGAGTGTTTTATGAACGTGTTAATATGACGAGGGTTTGTTAGTGAACGTGTTAATATGATGAGGGTTTGTTAGTGAACGTGTTAATATGATGAGGGTTTGTTAATGAACGTGTTAATATGATGAGGGTTTGTTAATGAACGTGTTAATATGATGAGGGTTTGTTAGTGAACGTGTTAATATGATGAGGGTTTGTTAGTGAACGTGTTAATATGATGAGGGTTAGT